TAGCTGCTTTCATCTTATTTGAAAGTTGGGATCATCAGATAAATAGCCTTCCATCCCACCTTCCTTCACAATTCAGTGTAATAGTAGACACCATCAAGACAAAACTCTTGGATGAAAATGCAGAGAGAGCAGGTTGAAGCTGCAAGATCTAGAACTTGGAGACTCCCAAGAAGTCAGATATGTTTACAAAACAGATCTGTTTTCTGAAATGTTCTGGGAAAGCTGTCCTGATAGATTAAATAGGCTTCTGGAAACTACTAGTATCTCTGATGAAAAATGCACAGACAGCCATGGCTCTTAATTAGGGTTTCTAATGCTGTAATTGAACACCATGACCAAAAGCAACTTGGGGAGGTCATGGTTTATTTCAGTTAACAGTTATATATCACAATTCATCATGAAAGGAAATCAGAGCAAGAACTAAGAGCAGAAACACAGACAAATGCTGCTTATTGGCTTGATCACTCATGGCTTGCTCAGTCTACTTTCTCACACAACTCAGAGCCACCTGCCTAGGGAGCTGTGCCATCCACACTGGCCTGGAGCCTCCCATGTCAATCATTAATCAAGGAGTTAGACACGTTTGCCTATAGGAAAACCTTATAAAGGCATTTTCTCAATTGAGAAATGTTCCCAAAGATTATAGCTTGTGTCAAGTTGACATGAAACTGACCATAACACAAGGATTCTGTTTAAGGAAATTGCTAATCAGTCCAAATGTCTGTTCTCACACTATGAAAATGAACAAGAATTTACATTCGATGTATTCTGTGTCTATAACAACATTTTAGAGACTAAATCAGCATGAAATAACTTGATATGAATCAAGAAAGGTAATATGAACTTGTTTTAGAAAGATATTTTTTAAAAAGAGCCCAAAAGACTGACAAATAACGAATCAAGTCTAAAATCCTTGGGAGTGAAATGTAATGATCAAAGACTTGCAAGTTTGGGTATATTTGACCAATGAATTTCTCTCAATAACCTCCCAGAAGTGTGTGAAATAATAGAAATTTACATAACAATGAGATAATACTTATGGACTTTCCTGGCTTGTCACACAAAAGTCATGCTTAACCAAGACAATCAGAAAGTTCCTAAGTAGAGTGTGCAACTCTACTACACCTGCAGATTTCCCATATGGGTATCTTGTCTGTCTTGATAAACATAAAACACTAGTGTATTATGCAACATCCATTGCTGAATGGAGAGAGGCAGGGAGAATAGGCTGGCTTAAAGTCTGAATCCCAGGATGACATCTCCCCTGTTCCCAATGTGTACTTTCAGTCTCTGCCTCATAACTACATATAACATGGCTCCAGTGGCTGCATTCTATTTTTCTTTATTCAAGTTTTAAAATACTGCAATTGAGAGTGTACTAATTACAAAGCTGGCCTCGCTTCCACTGTCAGATCCAAGTGGTTAACAAATATATCAGCAAATGATTTCACTGAATTCCACATGTGCATGACATAATTCACTTCTTAGCTGACCCTTGCATGTCCAATAAAATATGAACTGATATGCATAATTTTATTAATAATCCTTTAATTTCTAGATAGGGAATATTATTTCTCATAACAAAAATAGGATAAATGTGTTCAGGAGAGTCCTAGGCAGGCACTAAGAATTCATGTAGAAGTTTTTAAAACATTATTTAATGGGCTCATGAAAAAATATCCTGTTTTCTAACATACCGAAATAGGAAAGGCTCTATGCTATTCCTGGCTACGCATCACAGGGTATTATCACTAGGTCAGTGAGAGCTCTAATGAAGACTGTGGAGAAGATCAGATGCCATTTGGTTTTCTCACTAAACATCAGAAAGTCTCATTTAGGAATCAATTCTCAGTGCCATCTGCATAAGACAATCTTAATTTGGCATAACATTATTTTATCTGTTACACACCTGCTTGTTTTTAAGCAAACACAGCAACTTTTCAACCATACTAAAACTCATACTATTTTAACTGAAATGAAAACCAGGAATTAGTATCAATAGGATTGCAGATAAGTCAGGGAATAAAGCAGGGAGTTCAAAATTATGCTGGTAATTTTCAGTTATTTTTTTAATGGGAAATATAATTTTGCAAAGAATCATCTAGAAAAGTCATTAAGCCACAGAAATGGAAATACATTACATAAAACACAGGAAGATCCAATCTCATCATGATAATAGCATGTCATCATCTTCAGCTATGTCTGTCAGCTACAGACAGTGTCAATTAATCTTTTCTTTTTTTTTCCATGAACCTTAATTTCCAGTCTCTCGGGCTTATCAATTTTTAAATACCTGAAACCTGAATAAAGGGGAATATTTAAACTGTTTCAGTTGTTTAAAAAATTCAATAGACAATCTAAAGCTCACTAATAGATATAAAATTACAAATCGATACACGTTTTGTGTGTGGCTCAATTATGATCAAACTCTAATAGGCTTTAAAGTAGACAGCATTTAAAATGTGGAAAAATAAGTAGTCTCCAAGAAAGCTAAGCAGGTTTCTTGGAGTGCCAATTTCCATGCTGTAAAAATGCGTTGCTATGTCTTTAATCATCATAAATATTTATAATAAGGCTCTGTCCTTGGGCTTTTACATCAGTGCGTAAATCGACCTTTAAGTAACTAATTGCTAAAATTATTCATTTGTCAAAAATGTATATAATGCTTACAAATGAACTATTAGTTAAGAGTTAATATTTATTTCAGAATACCACAGTAATAACAGACACAGTCTGTAGGCAATTAAAGCAGCAACATGGTTTGGGGAATTTAGTTAATACTGACTTATTTTCCTGATCTTATTCCAGTACTTCCCAGGAATGATACACACACAAAAAAAAATAATACAACTTTCACAAAGATTTTGCCCAAAATTAATCCCAAATGAATTGAAAAATGTTTCAGATGCTCCTGAAGAATCACAGACAACAGGGTGGTCCAGGTGCCTTCTTTCTCTCTAGTCTCCCATGAGCATCATGTTTGTGGTACTTGAAAATCTGCCCAAATCAAACTTAAAGAAAAATCCCCTCAATTCACGAGTACATTGACGTTATCGATTATATTATTTGGTTGTAGGCTTGTAGGGGGCATGTGTGACACTGTGTGTTAGAGGACAATCTGTGAGTGTTTGTTCTATCCATATACCATGTGAGTCCTAGACACTGAACTTAGGTCTTCCAGCTGGTTGGCAAGGGCTTTTACCATGGAGCCATCTCAATACCCTTATGTTATATTTTATAACAAAATAGTATGTATGAAATAAAAAGAAAATATGTAAATTTAAGACAAATGTTTAAAACATTTCTACACATTGTCCAGTTGTATACTAAGAAAACTAGTATTTAAAACTGACAAATTTGTATGCAAAAGAATCTGATTGTTTCCCTTTTCTTTTATTATTATTATTATGGTATCTTAGTATAGACATGTGTTATAGTATGTGTATGGAAGACAAAATTTGGAGTAGGTGCTGTCCTTTTATGATGGGATCATGTGATTCTAAATAGGTCTTCAAGCCTGTATGTGACAATTAATTAGACCCAGTGAACCATCTTGACAGCCCAGTATAGTCTCTTTAAAGTAATAACATTGACTTGATTTTCAAATCTTCTTAACACAGAACTGTTTCAATGTCCTATTTTTAGCTCAATTGGCTTCCTTTTCATCAATATCTAACCCAGCTTTATGAACAGTTGTTAATTTAGTAAATATTATTATTATCTTCCTCATTTTGTATTCAACATAAAAATATTTTAATATATCAAACAAAAATACCCATGGGACATCTGTCACTATGTCACTGTCAGATATCTTTTAGAATAATTTCACCTGCAGTGTAACTCCTAAATGTAACCCTGGAAAAGTGACACTGAGCAAAAGCCAACATATAAATAGCTGAGTGGCCTCCCAAGGAAATGGAGCTGTCAGCATCCATGGTATGCATGTCAGATGCCAGAACACAGGGCATTCAAACTCAATGTGTCTAGTTTCTAACTTTAGAGATCAATATTATCTTCAGTATGAAAGTACAGATAAACCCATGTGACCAATTGCTGATAAAGTCATAATACAGCTAACAACAACAATTTAATGTGTTAATTTTGTAGCATAGAGAAATAAATATTGAACAAAGGGCCAAAGTCCTTTAATAAATGTCTCAATCTCAGTGATTCTGATGGACCACATCTCTGTGATGCTGTCATTATAATGGGCATGACTACAACTCACCTTAATTTTTCACTTGATGGTCTGAATGTAATGCTAGGATGGGAATAATTTTGCATCAAAATGTTCAAACTGTTATTCCTCTATCATCCACCATCTCGCTCTGGGGGGAAAGGTACCTTCTTTCTTCCTTTTTTTTTTTTTTTCTGTTTTAAACTGACATTTTATATTAGTACAATGTTGTTAACATTAACCATAAAAATTAATAAAACTCTTAAATAAAGCAGGAATTTCATGTGCTAATGTCTGAAGCCCTGCAACGGGGCAAACTACAGGTATCAACATGTGATCATAACAATAAACACACTCTAATCAGTATTTTTCCCCCTTTAGTTTTTCATGATGACATCCTTTGAGCCAAGATGACAAACTCAAGAGGAATAGGACATAGTAAATGTCTGAAGAAAGAACAGACAAATTATATATTTTTTGCTAAAACATGAACAAATACTCTCGACTTATTCATCACAAACAATCTTTGACCTCAGTTATCTGAAATTATCACTTAGTTTATTATATGAAATATGTTACATAAAAGCTACCACAATGCATAGAAAAAAATATAAATGTTCTTATAGGAAAACTACTAAATGTTAAAACACTATAATTTTGACCAATTAAAATAACAACTGGTTCTTTTTAATTTGATGTCTTTTACACAGAAGATTTAAAAAAAAAAAAAAAACCTTTTAAATGATTGTAGAGATGTTAGTCTTAGGCTTAAATAATACATATGAAGAATGTGAACCCTTGGCTTTAAAATCCTTTTTCCCACCTTCACATTATCTGGATGGAGTCCTCCGGGGTGCTTGTCCATGTACTGACATAAATCAGTGTGCTGGGGGAAAAAAGTGGAAATGTGTTAATATCCCTCTGGCTACAGAATGATGAATCAGTATTTTTCTACTTCAAAGTCACTATTACCTTTTGGACTAGACACAGGACATGTAGGTGGGTTTTCCTGCATATGAGGTTGCATTCTCCAACATCCCCCACTTTTTACCATCTTTACCTTTAGGTTTGATGTTAAACACATATGTATTGAAAGGAATACATGTTTATAGTTTGTTGAGTATCAATTTCTTCATTCTGATATATAACAAAACCCCAATCACAAGTTTCCATGAATGAATTTAAGTTCCTATTTATTTTATGTGAGTTGGAAACATTAGAAACACAATACGATAGTGAAATTAATAATTGGATTTTTCACACATATACACACAAATACTTTTTAGTTTTCAAGAACTAAATATATTTAAATATAAAATATAAATTAACAAAAACACATTCCAAGGAACAACTTAAAAAGACAGTTATGCATTTAAACATTAAGATAGTGTGCAAGTTATTTTTCAAGTGTGAGAAGTTAATATGCTAAGAATAGTATCTTTCCTTAACTTGCTTTTGTTTATATGGTGAATGACACAAAGCTTTCTTAAATCAGTAGTTTAGTCAAAAGTCTTATTCTCTTACTGTAAGGCATCACATAATGTACAAAACAAAATATATGATAAGTGTTTCTGGGTGACTGAGGATGTGCAAGTTTTGTAAAGCATTCAAGGACCTTGCTGAAACCATCTTGTCCACGATTCAAATTTTGTTACTAGTATTTGATTATACATCAGATGAGAGCTGCTGATGACACATGGCAGACCTTAGTTGCATCCCTTCATGCTGAGCTTCTGTGTTCCATATGATGCACTGTCATTAGGTAAGTCACTGAGGAGAGCAGAAGGAATGAAGTAGCTATGGAATGGGAGTGCCTGCCAGGTATCTCAGCAGAATGCAGAGCATCCTATAATAGCTCCTTGTAAGGATCACTAGTTCAGCAAGGGGCAGAACATCCTCTAAACAACTCAGGAAGGCTGCTGGGAGACATCAGTTCTAAGAAAGCCTAGCCCACACAAAGACAAATTGAAATGTGACAGAAGTGCTAGTTCATATATGTCTTTCATCTAAAACCACCCAGGGGGTTAAGAACCAGTCAAACTCCATGCTGTTGAAACTGTTCAATTTGGAAAGTATGATCTATGAGGTCCAGGCAGCTGACACACAGAAGATGTAAACAAATAGAGTTATACATATAAGATAAGCTCACTAAAACAAAATTAAAATTACATGGGGCTTTTCCTGAATAACTATATGTTTTATTTCAAGCATTCATCTTGAGCTAAAACTGAGAATTTGTATTATTTACTTTCTCATTCTTTGAAATGTAACTATGATAACATCAACTCCAGAAAGTGGCATTAAGTACTTACGAACATTTGTTTATTTGAAGAATAAATAAAAATGTATATGAAAACTTTTAACCTACAAGGTTATGTTACGAACACTTTCCCACGAGCCTGAGTAAGTTCTCAAGGGAGCTTCTGGGCTGTTTTTCATTTCCTTTGAGACAGGATCTTGCTATGTAGCCTACACTGGATTAGAGTTAGGAATCCCTAAATTGCTAGAATTATAAACACATACCATGTGATAGTACATTGTTGAAGGAGACACTAATTTCCTTTTGGCTTCCAGTCTTGCTATATGATCTTTTTTTTCTCAAATGTACATATACTGTGGTCCCATCCATCATGGTGTAGCACAACCAGAGGAGTCCTAGCCAGAGGCAGCACTGTGCTATTTGTACTTTCAGCCCTCAAAAGCATGAGTGATAAACCTGTTTTCTAGGTAACACAACAAAGCAACAAAACCTTGGAAACGTTGACTTCTTTTAAAGAGATTTCTTTGGCCAAGATGTAATTAACACCGAGAATGAGAAGAAGGAGAAGTACATGTGATGGCATACTCTGATATTATTACTGCTTCACTTAGAGACTAAGGCAGGAGGACAAGCAGTGTGAGGCTTGGTCTACATAGCAAGACTTTCTTTAAAAATTAATAAGAAAATTATGAAAATCAAAGATGCAGTGATATTAAAATATATTAGAGCTGTAACACAACAGACCAACAACTACAAACTTCATTTATTCAATATTTGATATCTAGACTAAAAACTATCTTTTCTAAAACCAGTTAATTTCTACATTTTATTCTGAAAGTTATGAGAACTGAAAAGCTGTATCGCCTGATGCAAAAAAAAAGGGGGGGGGGGGTAAATTCAGGTTCAAGTAGGTGACTTTAATGGAAAGTACTCCAAACATTAAAGTAAGACCTGTAGGAAGCATTAAAAGATGAGATGATGAGATGCTTTCCATCCAGTCTCTAAGGGTCACAGTCAACTCATACAAAGGCAAGGGAGGGGATACAAAACTTTACATCACAGATGTACAACTCCACAAATTATCACACCAAATAGCAGGACTGAATACTGAGCTGACAGACTAACAAAGCAAGCTCAAAGAAGAAAAATGCTAGGGATGAAGGAAGAGCTAAATACCTGCTAATGTGCACCTCCAAAATCAACAAGGAAAGAGCAAGGATGTTTGTGGTATTAAATAATTGTTATGACATTACATACATTACATATATGACACATGATGATTGCACCAAAATACAACACAGTTTTTCCTCTAATACTGTTTAACTGCTATGGATTTTATATTACTTCTGAATTGTTTTTGTATTTTCAAAAATAAAATATGTGCGTGTGTGTATTGTTCAAAATGAAAAACAAATAAACAAAAAAACATAAAAACAAACAAACAAAAAATAAGCTGGGAGGAAAAAAAAAATAAATGAAGAAAAAAGTCCTGGTTCTCAAGGGATGCAGATGACCTCCTTAGTATCTGCCATGTGACCCAGTATCATGACTGAAAGACAGAGAGATTTTCCACAGATGAGTTCTTAGGAAATGAGAGCTTTTTGACATCAAGCATTTAAATTCACCTTCCATTTTCAACATTATCTTTATTAACTCCTTGAGAATTGTGAACATACATGTAAGGTATTTTGATCAAGCCTTTAAATGTTTAAGTTTATATTTCCTTACACATAAGGCATGCAATCATGGATTGTGACATGTGTGGATGTAAATCACCCATGTACAAATAGACTATTGGTGGCCATGTCACCTTGTGCAGGCCACACACCTCTCATTGTTACATCACCTTCATTGTGTAATGACAATCAGGACACCTACCTCAGATTTCTGTTTGTGAAAATGAATGAATAAATACCCATACTGCTTCCTGACTGCTAGTGCACAATAGATACTATACATGATGATGATGATAGTCTATCTTGTACTTAATTTAAGAAAGGGGTATTTAGGAGGACAGAAATAAAAAAAAATGACAATAAAAATCTAATGAAGGGGGGGAAGCCACTTTTAAGTGGGAGCATTTCATGGTTACATGTTTACTCTTGTCTTCATGCACATCCCATTATACTACTCTCTATGCTCAACTACTTAGAATGGACATATATACACCATGGACCTTAGATTGTTCTGCATGGTAAGCATCAAGAATCTGAAGAATTGCAAGTGCAGGAGGGGCAAGCAGGAGTGCAAGGCCAAACTTGGCTGTCCAGTATAGTATTGGTGTTTTACAAACAATTCTACACACACTAAAAGCTGTTAATTTCCCCTTCATATTTTTTAAAGATCTTTTCCCATTAATACAGTTTAAAACAGAAAGATTGAGTAAAGGGAAGAATAGAGAAGGAGAGCAAGAAAAGAGATACCTTAATAGGGGAGGCATTATAGGCTTAAAGGGAAATTTGGCACTAAGGAAATGTCCAGGGATACACAAGGATGACCCCCAACTAACAATCTAAGCAATAGTGGACCTTAAATGCCCTTCCCCAATAATGAGATTGATGACTACCTTATATACCATCATAGACTCTTCATCCAGTAAATGATGGAAACAGAAGCAGAGATTCACAACCAAGCACTGAGTTTAACTCCTGGAATCCAGTTGTAGAGAGGGAGGAGTGATGAGCAAAGGGATCAAGACCAGGATGGGGAAACCCACAGAACAGCTGACCTGAGCAACTAGAAGCTCACTGATTCCAGACTGACAGCTGGGGAACCAGCATAGGACCAAACCAAGCCCCCTGAACATGGGTGTCATTTGGGAGGCCTGAGCAGTCTATGGGATCTCTGGCAGTGGAAACAGTATTTATCCCTAGTGCACAAATGGGCTTTGGGACCCTATTCCCCGTGGAGGGATAATCTCTCAGCCTAGATACAAAGGGGAGGACCTAGGTGTAGGGAGCCGTCCCAGCATTCTCCATTACAAGATGGCGTTGAGAGTAAACAAATCAGTGCACAGGTGCAGGGTGATTTTCCCTCCCTTGGCCTCTGCCTCTCCCATGGCATCATATGGGCCGATGGGCTGCAGCCAATCAGGAGGTGACACGTCCGAGGCGAAGGTTGTAAACCTATATAAGGGTTGGGTTTTGGATGTTTGGGGTCTCCGCTCTGTAAGCTTATGCTCTCCCTCTCAAGATGCATTAAAGCTTTACTGCAGAAGGATCCTGAGTGTGCCGAGTCATTCTTGCTGGTGAGACGGTAGCGCAGGACACCTAGGCACTACCCCAAATAATATGTCAGACTTGGATGATCCCTCATAGGAGGCCTTACCCATCCCCTAGGGTGTGGATAAGGAGAGGGATTGGGGGTTGGTGGGGGTTATGGGGGGACAGGAGGGAGAGGGAACTGGGATTGGTATGTAAAATAAGATTGTTTCTAATTTAAATAAAATTTTATTTAAAAAGACAGGAACGAAAAAAAAAATTTTTTTTTCTGTTTTGTAACAGCATTCTGCCTTGGGTGAAACCAGATGTAGCAAAATCACAAATTTCATTAAATCTTCCTTTAACTTCTTTCCTCAGCTCCTGATCATGTGACCTTTATGATTTGGACTGGTATGGAAATAAGAG